GAGCAAGAAAGCTGAGTGCCTTCAGGCAGGAGACTTGCTGGTGGACTGGGTGCAGCTATCAGCAGAGCTCAAAGAGCTTTGAGACACTTGCCTGAGCAGGGCAGAGGCCAGGGCAAGAAACTAAAGGCTGAAGAGAAGTGTGCCTTAGGGCATAGCAGAAAAGAGTCTATCCTGATCAAAGAACTGTATCCTGAGCATTCTTGAACATGAATTGTAACTTGGTGCTTACCTAGTAAACCCTATAATCATGAGTATTGTCTGTGAGTTCTGTGTGGCCATTGCAATGTGTTATTGAACTCACCAGAGAAGTAGTAGCATAGTGCCTAAGGCCCTTGACTGCTAATCAGAAGCCTGGCAGTTCAAACCTAACAGCCACTCCTCAGAAGGAAGATGGGACAATCTACTTCCGTAGTGATACTGCCTCAGAAACCCAAGGAGGGGTTGCTATGAATTGGGTCCGACTTGACGGCACGTAACAACAACAACAAGAGAAGTAGTGAGTGCTGTGGGAGGGACAGCTGGTGTTAGAATTGGTAAAAAGTTTGGAGGGTGGTGGCATGTCTGATTTTTGCCTTATAGGATTCAGCTTTGAGTATTGATGTTGATCTTTTTCTCTCCCCTTTGTGAAGTTAGAGGAAGTTGAAGGATGCAGCCACCACATCCTTTGTGCAGTGAGTCAATGACCTAATTCTGCTTTGTTCTAATGCAACATGGGAGCAAATGCAGAATATCTCTGCTGGCCTTGCCAGATTGATGGACCCAAAGTCATTATCCTCCTCCAAAGATAATCCTGTGATCAACTCTAACACCACTTGCCAGCCCTTCTCTCAGCTTATTGGAAAAACAGTGACCCAAAAAGTTTAATCTGGTTTACATTTTCAAGGTCAAAGTGAATAGAATGCTATCTACTTTGGGCCAAGAGAAAAATAAAATTGATTGCTCTAAGTCTTAGATATCTGCCGCAACTACATCCTTCATCCCTTTCCACATCCTCATGGTCCTTCTTGATGCAGTAAAAGCTCACATGAGACTTGTGTTTGTTTGTTTTTTTAGCATTATGTCATTATTATACATTTTTTACATTACAAACTTTCAACTCTTATGCTAGAGACAGGTGACCACTCTGCATAATTTTTTTTATGTTAAACAATCAAACAGCAAAGCTTTTCAAGTACCCAGACTAGCAAGCAACTAGGACCTAAATTGGAAATTCATTAACATTCCCCATTATTCAATGATCAAAATAGAATGTATACATAAATTTATGGCCTATTTATATACTTCATTCTTCCCCCAAAAGAAGCCAACTATTTTTAACCTGTGACTGTGACATGCATTTGTTTTTAATAATGTCTCAGTTATATAACCATATATTCAAGGTTTTTATCATTCATGGTACATGGAGGTTGTGCATTTAATCTTTAGCATGGTTGTAGAAGATATGATTCACAGAGAATAGAAGAGATAAAAATAAGCATACAGAAGTATGGTGCCGAATCATCAGAACTCATCATCTTATCAACAAATGGAAGTCATTCTTCTTTATTTCTTGAGCAAAGCAGTTTCGTGTAAGATAAATAGCTTTCAGTCAGAATAGCCTAACATGCAATATGCATCTTTTTGACATGTATATTCTAGTACTACTTTAGACTGTGAGATTAAAATAAGAAAACTCTCAGGATTGTGTGTTGACAACAAACGCTGGTCAAATACGCATTTTTTCCATTTCTCCTCTCCTAGAATCTGGCCTGTGTGTGTATATGTATATATTACCAGCTAATATTAAGTGACCAACGTCTAGCGACCTCCAAGCACAATTTTCTAGAGTTTTATAAGGGGAAAAAATTGGGGGGTTTGTCATTTTTTATGTCAAGCACTGAAGGTCACTTCAGGCTTTTGAGGTTTTGTTCCAGAGACGAGGATATAGTAGAAAGTATTTCTAATAGATTGAGGAGACCTGATTCTACATACATGACCTTGGAAAAGCCACTAAGATCCTCTCATTTTAGTTCCCCCATCTTGCAAAGAAAGAATTCGGGTCATATTCCTTAAAAAATTACATACAGTTCTAATATTATATGATCTATAAGGTATTATTCTTATCTTAATATAGAAAGTGGACAGGTAATGAGAAAGGTGGAATGAAGAGAGGAAATGGAGATAAGCATTTGGCCACTGGTTTATGGCTGAAAACATTGTTACAAGGCAATCACAATAGGCTATACTCTACAGGGAGTTGTGCTGTTTCATGATTTCCATTCTCACTTAAATATTAACTTCCATTTTCTGAGATAAAAAACTAAAGTGCAACCTTTGAGAAAATTGGCAAAAATGTAGAAAATATCAATTTTCAAATATGCATTTTGTTTTCCTGTTTACCATTTTGCGGATGAAAGAACTTGGGTTTTTATAGCAGACTCTCTGACTAAAACCTCAGCTCTGCTACTTACCTAGATATTTGACCTCTTTGCAATTCATCTCTGAAATATTTCCTCATCTGTGAAATGGGCAAAATTGGCTTGCTGACTTTGGATATATTATCAAGAAAGACTAATCACTAGAAAAGGATATCATGTTTGAAGAAGTAGAGGGTCAGGAAAAAGAAGGGAAACCTTCAATAAGATGGTTTGAAACAATAACCACAACAGTGGATTCATACACAACAACAATTGTAAACATGGTACAGGACCAGGCATCGTTTTCTTCAGGTATACATATGGTCGTCATGAGTCAGAGCTTATGCAATGGCAACTAATAACAACATCATGGTGTTATAGAAGATAAGAAATTATTCATTAGTGTTCCAATAATGTTTGGTCTTCTCTCTCCCTCTACTTAAGTCCCAAATTATTTAGGAGAGCATTAGCAGTGACACTGAACATTATCCTCTAAAGAGCTACAAAAAATCCACAGGATCTATTTCTTAGTTAGATATTATGTAGTGAGTAGTCATGTCCTGAGATGAAAAACTGGGAGGGAAACTGTGTCATTTACTTGGAAAATATTGCTACATTCGTTTACACTGATTAATTTCATTTTGGTTTCACCATTGAGTAAAATTGGTTACTTCCTCAAATTGACCTTTGTCTGCCTCTGTGATCCCACCTTAATCTCTTTTTCATCTCCCTCCCTCCACCAAAAAGTCAAATAATATCTTTACAAACCTAAAAAATAAATAAATCAATAAATCCACTGCCATGGAGTCAATTCTGATTCACAGCGACCCTCATCGGGTTTCCAAGGCTGTAAATCTTTACCGAAGCAGATTGCCTCATCTTCCTCCCATGGAGAAGCTGGTGGTTTTGAATCATTGACCTTCTGGTTAGCAGCCAAATGTCTTACACACTGCACCACCGAGCTCCTAAGGTTGGGCAATCTACTTGCGTAGTGATACCACCTCAGAAACCCAAGGAGGGGTCCCAATGAGTCGGGTCCGACTCGACGGCAGTGTGTTTGGTTTTGGTTTGGTAAGTGACATCAGTTCTGCTGATGTAAACTATTCACACATGTGGAAGTTCTTTGAAAAGGGTAACTAACATTTTCAATGCAAATATAAGACAACAAGTCAGAATAAAATAAGGAACAGAGTCTTAAAAATGCATATTAGTCCCCAGTGGATAAAAGCCAGTGTGTAATTAAATATGTTCTGTGCAACTATGCCCATTTTATGGAACTTAAGAGAGTGAGTCCAGGAAACCCCATGAATGGACAGGAAGGAGTCCCAGATTCTAATTACAACTTTCCCCTTCACTCCCCATCTGTGCTTTACTTATGTTACAAAGTATAGTATCACATAGTAGCACAAAAACTGGATTACAATCTAAGATCTAGAATTCACTAGGTGTGTGAGCTTATAAAATTACTTATCTTCTGGATTTTTCATACAAATGGGGTTAGTGATATCTTTCTCATAGGGTCATGGTATACAGTGAAGATAACTATGAAGTACCTGGCCCAAAGTTTTATTCATAAAACATATTCAAAAAGGGTGGTTACTAGTTGTTGTTACTACTTCTTTTGAAAAAAGAAGGTTACAGTGGGTGATCTAAGTTCTTTTTCAGATTTAAAATTAGCCTGTCTTTAAAAAAAAAAAAAACCTACAATACTTTTTGCAGAGTTTGGCACTCCCTGAGCAAAAGGATTTGGGACTGACAAGATTTAGTAAGAAGAGTGTTCTAGATGCATACTTGTAAAAATAACAGCCATCCTACCTTTAAATATCCTGTTGACATAGCTAATATTCTGCCATCATTGAATCTGCATGTATTATTACATCTTTAGTTTATACTTACAAATACAGAGAAACATCTCAAATAATAAAAGTGAGTGCTGAATATTTTTGCAAGCTTTTAGAACATTTTGAAAGAATACTATAAACATACAAGATGTGACTATATGGTAACAAAATGAATTTTCCTGTATGGCATGAGGGCTCATTAGCTTGGAGTCATACTCCGTGTTGTTTTACAGAAGCCATGTATGACATTTTTCAAAAATGGCTCATGCCTTTGGGAGTATTGTTGTTGTTGTTGTTATGTGCCGTCGAGTCAGCCCTGACTCATAGCGACCCCTCCTTGGGTTTCCGAGGCAGTATCACTACGGAAGTAGGATTGCCCAACCTTCCTTCCGAGGAGTGGCTGGTGGGTTTGAACCGCCAGCCTTCTGGTTAGCAGTCAAGTGCCTTAGCCACTATGCTACCAGAGCTCCCTTTGGGAGTATAGACATCTACTTTTGTGTAAACTAATAGCTCTGCAGATTCAAAATGAGATACCCAGAAAAGTCCTTTGATTCCCTAAGTCCAATAAGGAGAAAAAGTTCCTCTTCCTAATTATAGATTTGACCAAAGTTAGTGTTGCAAAATTGATATGAAAATACATATTTTATAGTAAAGAATGCTTAATATTTTTCTCAGTAAATAAAATTAAGATTGTGTTTTTAAGGATAATAGTATTTACAATAAGCTGTGAATATCAGCTAACGAAGTAGGTGCACACGCTTACTTTCTTCATCAAGGAGATTTGCAGCAGCTGATAGTAATCTCATCCTGTCTTCTGGGTTTTCAATTTTTAATTCAATGAGATGACTGTCTTTTATATCCTTTAAATCTTCTAGAGTCTCATAGCCATTGAGCAAGAGTGTTGAAGCGTATTCCTGTGGAAGAAAAAAATGTATGTATAATATAATCAAGTCAGTCAAATATTTAATTTTCTTTAGATTTAAATGAAATGTATAAATGCGTAAGAAAACCAAAATGTACTAATTTTTGACATATGAACTCCAAGGCATTTAAGAACAAGACTGTGTTATATAATCCTAACCTTCTGAGGAAGAAATATAAATGGCTAGACCATTTATCCCATTTGGTACTTTTTCACTTGTCAACTAGCTAAATTGTCAGAGCTAGTTATTTTTAAGTCTATAAATAAAATCCCTCTAACAAAAAAGTATATTACAGGAATAATTCTGAATATATATCTCATTTTATTAGCTTGATTGTAAAAGCATCTATTTTCTTATTAACATCTTGAGGTATGTTAAAAATGAATTTGAAATAGACACAATTCTATATAAAAATTATTTTAAGCATTTTAGTTCAAAGACATTATATAAGCCTAAGTAATCCCAGACTATCTACTTAATTAAAAACTTCTATTAAGCATAAAACCACCATGGCTTGGAAAAGTATTGTTTCCTTTTCTGATCGTGTATATTGTAGTCATAATATGCATCATTATATATTTGTTTAAAATTCATAGGCTTCTGATTTCAAAGTATGTATGTTATTTATGTAACCTCTGTTCTCTCTAACAGGATAAAAATGCAAAGTAAAGTTGAATGCTTTTTAACTTCCTCAATAATTTCTCCTATTTTTCTTGGTTACAATTTCAATATCCTTATTTTTGTTACTAAAATTGAATATGAGGAAGTCTAAAACCTTTAAGTAATCAGGAAGAACTTATTGCTGGACCTTATTTTTTTTAATTCTTTACTAAAAATAATGACAACAAAAATAGAAGACACACAGAAATTCCTTCAAAAATAATGTATTCTAGAAGGAGCATTGACTTGGAAGAAAGAAAACCAAAATTTCCATACATATACATTTAATTGTGGGATGTTGGATAAGTCATTTAACTTCCTTTAACCTTGATTTTCTTGTAAGTCACAGAACAAGTAGCAGAGGCAAATTCAAACCTGTACATCCACTAAGGAATACTTCGATATGCCCTAATAATAAGACTAAGGAGCTGTGATGGTATGGTGAGGAAGGCATGTGTCTATTAACAAGAGGCCAGTGCTTCAAACCTACCAGAAGAAGAAAAATAAAGCAGTCTGCTTCCATAAAGAAGCCTTGGAAGCCTTGGAAAATCCTATGAGGCAGTACTACTCTGTCTGACGGGGTCACTATAAGTCTGAATTGATTCAATGGCAGTGAGTGTGGTTTAATAATAAGACTGGAATGCTTAGTGAGTATGTTTACGGACAGAAAAATAGTGAGATAATTCAGAAAAATAATTAAAGAATGTTCAATTAGTTTGGTGAATTTTGAAAACTCTTAAAGTACTGCTTAGTTAATTTTAGAAATGGATTGGCAAATAGTAAGTTGAGTGAGACTAAGTATATTGTATGCACATACCATTTAATAAGGTAGATATTTCATTAAAAATTTTGCTAATGTAACAAGAAATATTTAAATTATAAATATAAACAACAGATTTTCCTTATCACAATGATTTTGGGTCCTATGATCACTTTTGCCCAACAAAGCTATTAAATTTAGTTATTTACTTTTAAAACTATTTAGTTATTTTCTCTCAACTTTACTTTGATCCCTACTCTATACAAAATACAATTTCTTTTCATTTTTTCCCCTTTCACTTCACCGAACTTTATCTTACTCTTCATGCTCTTTATGTCATTCATATTTACACATTTTCTCTGGGCTTTTATTCTCCTAGGTATTTTTCATTTTTCACTGCACTTTCCCAACATTAATCTCTACTGTCACTGTTAAGTACCATTAGGGTTTAGTCCAAAGGATGTTATATTAAGATCTGTCCTTGAATAATAAATTAATAAAGGAAAAATAAGAACTGTTCTTGGAAAACTGATTTTCCTTTGCTGTAAGTCTTGTATTTTTCATTGGGCAATCTACTTCCATAGACATACTGCCTCAGAAACCCAAAGAGGGGTCACTATGAGTCCAAGTGACTCGACAGCAGTGAGTTTGGTTTTGGTTTTATATAAATATTGAAATAAATGAGAAACATAGACTTCAAATTATTTAGCTGTGCAATCTGTTGAAACAGTATTTTTTGTTATAAGTTAGAATTTCCAGGATTCCATAGTAATTATGAAATTTTAAAAAACTGTCAAGGAAATAATAGTGGTATTTGGACCTTGTCATAGTAATTGGAACTGAGCTACAAACTCCAATTTAATTCAAAAATCACTCATAGATTTTCTCTCCTCAAATATACCATTCATGTGCAGCCCAAACTGAACAGACCATAGGTCTGCTTACCTGAAGTTGAATCCTCTCTAAGAACTCCTGCAGAGTCTTTGGTTTTTCCCTCTTACTCCTTCGATGTGCCTTTATTTTCTTGGGGGCTGCTTCCTCTTCTGAGATGACATCCACATAAATAAATTTGAAGTTTCCCACCTTGTTGTTCAACATTCCCGTCCACATCCCCATTGGTGTTTTGCAAATAATGTCTATAATGTCTCCTTTCTAAGGACAAAAGACATCCAAATTAGATTTCAGAGAACTCTGGTGCTTTCACATTGTTTAGAATATTAGAATAATGAGGGAATTACACTAAACGATTTCAGGATTTTTTTTAAAAAGTAAAACTAAGAAGAAACATCCTTAAATGAAAATTATTTACTAGTAATAATAAAGAATTCAACAAACTTGAAGAAAAAGCTATTAAATGTATGTGATGACACCTTTATGTTTGTATCTTCATATCGATTTATCAATTTATATTTGTGGAGCTCAATGTAATTTACAAAGCACTTTTGCATATACTTGTTCATTTTATTCTTACAACAAACCTCTGACATTTTTGTGTATATGTTATCATTATCATTTTAAATATTACAATAAAAGAAACACAAACGTTAAATGACCTCCCAAGAATTTACAGGAAGTTAAGAGTAGAACCAAAATTTAGGACCAAGTCTTCTGACTGAAATATGATGCTCTTTTACTCACACTCTAATACATTTGCTTTATATGTATCAAAGCTCGAAAAATCATTCTCTGAGGGGCTTCCCAATTAGGAAAGGGGAAGAGACAGAAATCTGTCACTGTGTTTGTGCTTGTAGTTCATCTGAAAAATTAATCTAAAGTATAAATTAAATCCATCTAAAGTATTGCATTCATATAAAATAATGAGATTGTTCAGAACTCACCAAATATGTCAGAAAAGTGTGTGCGCCAAATACGTTACTTGGTTCTTATTATAGAAAGGATAAAATTTAGGTTGAGCTTTGCAACCAAGTTTGAGTTGAAGTATAGAAAAAGCACATTGGGATGAGCAAATAAGATTGGTCTTTTTCTTTATTCACGTCCAGAACCCTAATTGGCTAATAACTGGTACTTACTAGCAGGAATGAAACCCCATAGGGGCAGTTCTTTGTAAATAAAATTGATTTCTATACAAATACTCCTTTGAGTCTTATAACTTCCTGCCTCCAGAGACGTGATTACAGAGTGCACTATTTTGGGCACTTCTCAGGGATTGCTTTCAAACAAAGCAATGTTTTCTTCTGAAAATATATTTTTTCCCACTTCTCCATGAATGTGTGTTTTTTAAACTGAACTACAAATTTTATTTGTAATATTAGAATTCAGTTGTGACTCAAAGATCTGGTCTTTCTAATTTATGATCATTTGCCTCTCTGGCCACATAAACTGTTAGTCTGGGTCTTCCTGCCTTTAACTAAAAGGAATCCAGTCCTAGGCTAGCAAAATCCCCTAAAATTTATTAGGGAAGTTTCTAGGCATGGCGTCCCTTTGTTGCATCTTACCTATTATCCTTAATCTCATAAAAAGTACACTTTCTAGGAAGGCCCACAGGTCACTAAGCAAAGACAAAACTAAAAAAAAACTCACTTCCACTGAGGTGATTCGATTTATAGCGACCCCTCCTTGGGTTTCTGAGGTGCTATCTCTATGGTTGTAGGTTGCCCAATCTTCCTTCTGAGAAGTAGCTAGTGGGTTTGAACCATCAACTTTCTGGTTAGCAGTCAAAAGCCTTAGGCACTACGCTACCAGAGACCTAGTTTTATTTTGGATAAAACCCTTGATAGAAATAATAGTTTCACTCCTCAGGGGTAACTGCAGGATTCTTATCGTGTCCTATAAAACCAGTAACCAATGCCATGGAGTAAATTTCAACTCAGTGATTTCATGTATGTAGGATCCGAATTGTGTTGCATATCATTTTCAGTGGATGATTTTTCAGAAGCTGATCACCAGGCCTTTCTTCCAAGATATTATAGGTGGACTGGAATCTGCACCCTTTTGGTAAGAGCCAAGTGTGTTAACTGCACTACCCAGGGACTCCTGCTAAAATGATCCACAGTGGTAATGGTAGTGTACTGGTATGGTATTGTAGGGAAGGTGACAGGCTAACCTGAATCAAAATGTGTTCAGTATCTTCTTTTCTACTGCCCCTCCACCCATGATGGTTTCTAGGCTATGAGAACAATTTCTCTAGGACTTAAACGTAGACTTCAAGTCATTTCATATAAACAACCAAAGAAAGAACTAAAGGGAATGATTTCCTAATTCTCCCAGCTGAACTTTCTCTAATTTGATAGTATATTAGGGATAAACAGCTGAGTGCTTTGAATGTTAAATAATAATATCCATACTTATTATAGGAGCTCTGGTAGCATAGTACCTAAGACACTTGACAGCTAACCAGAAGGCTGGCAGTTCAAATCCACCAGCCAGCCACTCCTTGGAAGGAAGGTTGGGCAATCTACTTATGTACTGATACTGCCTTGGCAACCCAAGGAGGGGTCGCTATGAGTAGGGGCTGACTCGACGGCACACAACCAACAACAACATAACTTATTATATTAGTTAATATTGGTTAAATAATTTCATAATTAATCATAACTGCTGTGATTTTATTTATAGCACTTTGTGATACTAAATGGGAAAAAATTAAAAGCCATAGCATATTTCTTATATTGGTACTATTGTAGTCAGCCAATCATAGGTCTGCAATCGTCTCCAAGTTGCAACTCCTGAACAAAATACTTTGATATGGTGATACTTTTGCCACTCAGATTGTATAAATAAATGAACATTTTAAGGCTGCTTTAAAGGTCCAAGTACAGTATGATTGCAGTGCATTAAATAACTAAATGTGTAAAGCTTCAGGGTATAACTAGTGTTCTGTAGAGATGAAGAAAGGACTGATGCCCATTAATGAGTTTCTATGATTTTACTTTAAAAATCATGAGCGTATATCTTCTTGTGCAGGGGAGGTGGCAGAGATTCACAAATATTTGTGAAACTCCTCTGTAACCATCTCTACTCTACTCATACCTTTGCCCTGCTGAGGACTTAGAAAGTTTGGGTGGTGATAAATATTTTAATCTATAAAATCCAGTATTTTAAAAAGAAAGGATGATTCAGGTTTGAGATAGAATGAAGTAAATTTATTGAAAGTAGTCTACACCAACAACACACGTGTACCAGTCTGGCCATTCTAGCAGGCCTTGAGTGGGAACAAGGTAGCTACTTCTAAATATGCTGAGTTATAAAGCAGCATAAACAAAAAAACAGAACAAAACCCATTGGCATCAAGTCAATTCCAGCTCATAGTGGTCCTATAGGACAGATTAGAATTGCTGCATAGTCTGTAATCTTTACGGAAGCAAACTGCCATTTCTTTTTCCTGTGGAGTAATTAGTTGCTTCTAACGGCTGACCTTTCAGTCAGCAACCAAGCACTTAACCACTGTGCCACAAGGCTCCTTATAACTCAGCATACCAAACCAAAATCAAACCGATCAACAAGAATCCTGACCCATCATGACCCTGTAGGACAAGGGTAAAACTGTCCTGTATGGTTTCCAAGGCTATAAAAATTTATGGAAGCAGACAGCCACATCTTTCTCCCTCAAGTGTCTGGTAGGTTCCAACTGTGGACCTTTTGGTGAGCAGCCAAGTGCTTACCCACTGTACCACCAGGGCTCCTATAGAGCAGCCTAGTGCAGTGTAATTAGAAGACAGGATTTCTAATTTCTTATCCATTCCTTAAGAAGCCCTGATGGCACAGTTGTTAAAACACACAACTGCTCACCGAAAGTTCGGCAGTTTAAATCCACTGGATACTCCATGTCCAGTGTAAGATGGGACAGTCTACATCTATAAAGATTTATAGCCTTGGAAACCCTATGGAGCAGTTCTGCTCTGTCCTACAGGGTCACTATGAGTTTGAATGGACTCTAAGGCGCTAGGGGTAATCCCTCCCTTAAGGGATGGGAGATGGTGGGCAAGAGGCAAATTCTGATTCTGTCTCTTCATCAAAAAGTGATGCTAACTTTACCTACCCTATCGGCTTGTGATGAAAGCATTGAAATAACATAAAGAAATACACGCAGTGCAAAGTGAAGTTAGAATATGTCAGTTATATCTGAATAGAAGGCTTTCTCAGATGAGAGGGTTTGGTAGGCAGAACTTTAAGGTATTCCCCCACCCCCCAGATTCTTGCACTTGGTCCGCACACCTTATATTATACTCTCATTATATTGAGTGTTCTGAGACTGTGAATATAATGGATTTCATATTCACGATTATGTTACATAAGGCATCTGACTGCTAACCAGAAGGCTGGTGGTTCAAACCCACTACCCACTCCTAGGAAGGAAGGTTGGGCAATCTGCTTCTGTAGTGATACCACCTCGGGAACCCAAGGAGAGGTCACTATGAGTCGGGTTGACTCAACAGCAGTGAGTTTGATTTGTTTTTTTATATGACAAAAGGAACTTTCCAGATCAACAAATGTCCCAAATTAGTTAATTTTGAGTTAATTAAAAGGGAAATTATTGGGGGGGGGGGCGAGTTGACTCAGTCAGATGGGAACCCTTAAAAGAAAGAGGCATCAGTTAGTTTGTTTTCTGCTAGCCTGAAGGAATTGACTGACATGTTGTGCAGAGGGTCATGGTCTTGGGTACTAAGAATGGCCCCAAATGATCTCCAGCAACAGAGCAGTGACCTCAGTCCAACAAGCACAAGGTTGAGTTATGTCGACAACTAGTGAGCTTAGAAGAGGACCCTGAGCCTCAGAGGAGATTGCAGCCATGACAGACACTTTGATTTCAGCCTGTTGATACAGGGAACCCAGTTGAGCCATCCTTATGACCTATATAACTGACTGATAATAGTAATCTGTGTTGTTTTAAGCCTCTGAGTTTGTAGTAATTTGTCATAAAACCAAACAAAAACAAACTCACTGCCATTGAGTCCATTCCGACTCATAGTGACCCCACTGGGTTTCCAAGGCAGTAAATTTTTATGGAAGTAGGTTGCCAGTCTTCCTTCCATGAGATGGCTGGTGGGTTTCTACTGGCAACCTTCTGGTTAGTAGTCAAATGCCCTAGGCACTGTATCACCATAGCAATATAAAAATAATACAGAGGGTAAGAGTAAAAAGAGGAGATTCAAGAGGGAATATCATTGGAAGAAAGATCTCTAGTTACTCCTGGCAACAAACTTAAAACGTGCTAGAGGAGCCTGCCAAGACTGGTTCCCAAGGACTTTGCACTGCTGGACTCTTGCCTGATATCTTCATCTTCTGTCCCTCTCCTTGGCTTCATTATCTTTACTCCATCAAGGACCATGTTGAAGTGGCCACTTCCAGCAACCTGTGAGACTTAGTTTTTGGAAAATTCCTTCCTCCCCAGATAGGTTCTGAATTTAAATTATCTACATAGCCACTCCTCGGAAGGAAGGTTGGGCAATCCTACTTCTGTAGTGATACTGCTTTCGAAACCCAAAGAGCTGTTGCTATGAGTCAGGGCCGATTCGACAGCACATAACAACAACAACAACAACACATAATAATAGCTAATTTTAAAAGCCTGAAAAGAACAAGAAGGACCCTACTTACCACCACCCAACTCCTGCTGTTTTGTTCAAACTCTTGTCAAAATAAACCAGTTTCCAGTTCTACTGTCGAGAAAAACACACTCACTACTCGAGTTCCCACTGCCTATTATTTCCTTAAACAGATCACACAGCACAGTATTTGGCAAACCACATAGAAAGGAGTTATGACATTCACTAACCTTGATTTTGAGGGAGTCAGTGTCATAGGGGCTTGGCGTGAAATCTGTGTGCACTCTAGCACGACCGCAGAATGGTCCTGTGTAGGGACCTTCATCATCAAGCCGAAAGCTGTCCCGGTTACTTGTACCATCTGAACAACTTGTTATTCCACCTGATGAAAGCAAAAGTTAATAGTTCTCACAGAGAGCTCCTGATGTCTTGAACCATTATCTGGACACAACAGAAGAATGATAATACTTAAGCAGTGGATGTCAACCTTCTGCAGGATTTCTAATGCCTGATTCCTGTTTCTTGTCACTCTCCATTAATGACTTCTGTCCTCTGGGCTATTTCTGACCTTTCTTCAGCCAATCTGGCCCTGACCACTAAACCAACCACCCTCTTCCTTCTGCCCCTGTGATCTGATCCAGTAGCACAGTGTATTGTAACTTGCTAAAGAGCAGATGGTATAGGTTTAACCCCTGTACAAGTCAGACAATTAATTCTGTACATTTAAACAATGACAGAAACTGACAGTAGCAGTTTTATCTTTGTGTAATGTTGATCACAGAGTAGCCAAGATAAAATCCTACAAGGTTCACTATAACATATCACTATTGTAGCAAAAATGTTCCCCAGACTTCCTCTTGGAGACCAAATGCCATTTTGAGGTAGTGTCTCTCTCTGCACGTAAAAGGTGACACTTCTGCTTGTGCAAGTGTGATGAGAGGAGGAGGAAGTGTTCTGGAAGTCTGTACCCCCAAGTGTTTCAAAATTGTTCTAAACTAGCCCTTTGAATTGCTTTAAATGCTTGTTCACTGATTCTCTTCCTTTCTGATCTTGAGCCCCCAGGAAAGAAACAAAGGAGATTCCATTTTTGCTGCCAGTCTGGGGATAAGAAAGATTTCCAATGGAATTAACTTTCAGTTTCTCTACCATTCTCAGTCTTCACTCCCTCCTTCAGTCTGGCCCTTTGGTGCTCTGTTCATTGAAGGAATAGCACATATTTCACTACCACTCATTATGTAAATAAGGTAAAAAATTTACATTGTATATGAACTGGTATAGAAGAAAGATGAGTTGTCTTATCACAGAAATTACATCATATATAATAACAGCTAAGTGTGTTCCCATCTCTTCATTCTCACTCTCCCTTGGCTACCCTAGATCCTGGCTTTTCATGGTACATTCTAGTTAATAAATTTCTCCCCACATTCCAGACTGCAATCTAGAATTTTAAAACTTGCAGCAGGAATAAATTCTAATAGATTATAATTTTCACACAACAAAAACAGATCCTTCCAATGTTTCTGCACTAGCTATTTTCACAAAATAACTATTGTACAGCCAGAAAGAGAATGGGGATAAAATTCAGGATACTTGAAGCATCTGGTCTTTGTGACCCATCTTCAGATAATAGAAGCAATTGTTTTAAATGGAAATGGAAAAATGAACTTTGCAAAAACTTTGAACATCTTTGAAAAGATTAGAGGGATATATGTTGTTGTTGTTGTTATGTGCCGTCAAGTCAGCCCTGACTCATAGCGACCCCTCCTTGGGTTTCTGAGGCAGTATCACTACGGAAGTAGGATTGCCCAACCTTCCTTCCGAGGAGTGGCTGGTGGGTTTGAACCGCCAGCCGTCTGGTTAGCAGGCAAGTGTCTTAGCCACTATGCTACCAGAGCTCCCAGAGGGATATATAGAAGTGTATATATAAAAAGTCATAAGGAACCCTGCAGTATCAGTAGTTTTATTCAAATATTGTAGCAGGATATGTAATTAAATCCTGAGTCATTTTCCTTCTTAGGAAAATGTCAGTGCTCATTAAAAAATCCTTGTTGGACATTTGCTAATTCTTTTTTGTTGGATAGTTGGTTACATTCAACCATTTAGTATTTATATATTGGTTATCTATATAAATGGATATGTACTAGCCATTTAGTATTTTTATTTATTGTATAAGTGTTTTCTCCCTAATGTTGGATCAAGACCTAAAAATTAAATGCTGGAATGGATGTGAATGTCCTACACTTTTCAGAATACTTCAGGGGAAAAAAAGAAGAAAAACATGAGAAAGAGAAGGGGAAAGGAAAGGAAAAAGGAGGGGGAGAGAGAAGGAATAAATAAAAGGGAAGAGAGAGGAAAAGGAAGAAGGGGATGGAAGGGAAGAGGGAGAGGCAGAGGGAGGGAAAGGAAAAGAAGGAAGAAATAAGGGAGGGAAATGGAGGGAGAGAAAAAGAGAAAGCAGTGTTTCATTGACATAAATTTAACAATTTAAAGTTTTCAATGCATCAATATGCTTCAGTTCTCCCCAGCATACGTTTTTTATTTTGGGAATGCCAATTTAATTACCCAACACGACATTTTTGAGGCATATCTTCAACAGTCTTGCTGACTATAGTGTTAAAGTTTAAAAATAGTATATAATTCTGCCAAATGCATGATGTATCATTTTCAACAACAGCAGCTCCATATAGATTACAGACATCCTATACTTCTACCATTTCTCTTATAAAGTAACTGGAACCTTGTTGCTAATTGATAAACAAGGCTCACAGGAGCAAATCAGTTGTTTTTAATTCACTTAACTCAGACCTCACTTCTAGGATCTTGTCCCTTATTTTGTAGCCTTACTTGATGAGCTCAGCCCACTGTAGAGACTATCCATGGAGTCACTGGCTTTGAGGGAGACCTTCTCAGTGTGGGTCCCAATCATGGGGTCACTGTTCCGATAAGGGAGGGCATCCTGTCCATCTTCCTCATCCTTCAATAAAACATATCAGAGGTTAAGTGCAGACAACAGATTTCCATGACAATGTTCACCAGGCACACTGATTTAACAAAGAATACATATTTTAGCAATAGAATACTTAGGAATACATCAACCAAAGATAGGAGCTTCAATAATCTTTAGTTTAATTCCTAGCAAAATATTTTACAGTATACTTGGGAAGATTCTTTAGATAAAACAATGTACAATTCAACTGAAATTATAACAGTTCAGTGTTGCAAATTAGTATCAATAGCTTATCAATACTGTTTAATCAGAAATGTTCTACTTATTGCTATCTGTGCTTTATCTGTCATTCAACACAAGTTTATAAAATATGTTCTATGTACCAAGGCACTGTTTTTGTCACTACAGACACCATAGTAAATAAGATAACAGCATCCTTGCTCTAAGGAGGTATAATCTAAAATGTCAGGCTGTGTGTGTCTGTATGTGTTTGATCATATTTTTATAGATGTGCTATGAAAGAAATAAAATTCAGTGATGTGAGACAAATTGGCTACTAGGGTTAGGGTTGGGGATGGTTGCATGATTTAGATGAGGTAGCCTCCAAAGAGCTCTTAAATAAGGTGATATTTGTTCTAATTTCTTTATGTGAACAATAAAAGATGTAATTCATGTAAATATTTGGTGGCAGAGTCATGCAACCAAAAGGAACAACAAGTGAAAAGGAACTAAATTTAGAATTAGCTTGTGTTATGGAGGGAAAAGCTACAATGCCCATGTAACTGGAGCTCAGGGTGGCAGAGAGGAGTGTTAGGATATGAATTCAGAACTGGAAATTGGAGCCAGATCATGAAGAGTGTTATAGATCACATGTAGTGACTGTGGGTTTGTGCCAGAAAGATCTTTTGCTGAAGCGACTCTATTTGACTGACAACCACAGCTACTACCCTTCAAGATCCACCACTGTATATGCCCTGAGGCCACACTCTCAGGCAGTGACTAACACAGTCAGGATTCTATTCAAGCCTTTTTGGAAGGATGTGAAACTCCTGTAAATGAAAACTTTGGCTCAAGGACTTCTCATCAACCAGGCCAAAGCTTTCTCAGAATGGTGTTGCAATCTGACTCTCTCTTTTCCTAATCTTTCTTTTCCATTTCTTTTCACAGATGTCAGACCTGTATTACAGTTTGAAATCTAACCCTGTCCATTTCTCTTCTTCCCTTTTCTTTTTTTCCGTCCCCCAATACCATGGTCCTGAGATGGGAGATCTGTTGGATCTCTCTCCCGCAGTGTCTGGGTGTCTGTGAGGGATTGCTCTATATCTGTCTTCTGTTGTTTCTGTAAAGATTGCAGGTATTTTGTATCACTGGTATCTGTGCAAGATTAGCCTGAGCTGAATCTATCCTTGGTCTAGAGTATATTCCTGTTCACTGACCCCAATCTGATCCTTTCAGGTGTTTATGTGTTTATCTGTAGCCTGGTGTTTGTTGTTAATGGTAATGCATTATTGTGGGCACACTGGTTGGTATTAGCATCTGCCGTCTGTCTCCTATGTGCCCAATTCAGTGTCCTCTCTTTTCCCAATGTTATCACAGTGGTCACAGACTCTTTCCATACATCCTTCCCCTTATTCACGTCAGTGTGTGGGCCCCAACTAGCCCAAAATTAATCCCTCCCCCTCCCTCTCCACCCTGGCAACCTGCAAAGTGAGTTCCCTTTCCCAAGCAAACCTTTCTTTATCCTTTTACAGTAATGGGCTCATACAGTACTTTTCCTTCAGCGATTGACTTTTTTCACTCAGCATAATGTCCTCCAGGTTCATCCATGTTATGAGATGATTCGCGTATCTCTCTTTGTTCTTTAATGTAGCATAGTATTCCATTGGGTGAATGTACCATAATTTGGTTATCCCCTCATCTGTTGATGGGCATTTAGGTTGTTTCCATATCTTTGCTATAGTGAATCCTGCTGCGATGAATATAGGTATGCATATGTCTGTTCGTGTGCTGCCTCCTACCTCTTTAGGATATATTCCTAGTAATGGAATTGCTGGGTCAAATGGTATTTCTATTTTCAATTTTTTAGGAAACACCATACTATATGCCACAATGGTGGTACCATTTTACAGTTCCACCAGCAATGCACAAGAATTCCAATCTCTCTGCAACCTCACCAGCATTTGTATTTTGGGTCCTGTTGAACTTTGCTTTTATTGCTGGGGTAAGATGATATCTCATCATTGTTTTGATTTGCATTTCTCTAATGACTAATGATCATGAACAATTCCTCATGTATTTGTTGGCCGACTATATATCTTCTTTGGTGAAGTGTCTGCTCAAGTCTTTTGCCCATTTATGAATTGAGTTATTTGTGTTTTTGCTGTTGAAGTGTTGAAGTTTTCTATAGATTTTGGAAATGAGTCTTTCATTAGATATGTCATAGGCAAATATTTTCTCCCAGTCTGTAGGTTCTCTTTTTACTCTTTTGATGAAGTCTTTCAATGCACATAAGAATTTTAATATTTAAAAGGTCTCAGTCATCTAGCTTCTCTTCTACCTCCTGTACATTTTGGGTTATGCTTGATAGTCTATTTATGCCATAAATTAGGGCTCCCAGATTTGTCCCTATTTTATCTTTGATAAATTTTATAGTTTGGGGTTTTACATTTAAGTCATTTTCACCTTTTTGAGGCCTTTCTAACTTCTATGTGGAGAATGGATTTTATGTGAGGTAAAAGTGGAGGAGAGGAAAACAATTAGGTGGTTATTATAGTAATCCAGGCAAGAAAGATTGGTGACCATGTTTAAAGCTGGAACACTGTAAGTGGAGAAGTTAAGTCTTTAGATAATTTTTGAAGTTAGAACCAAAAGCATATACTGACATGAACTGGAGTGAAAAGTAGAAGAAAATAATTTAGAATGATTCCCCAGGTTTTTTGTTTGCTTGTTTATTTCAACGTATAGGATTATGAGGATTATGATGGTTTTATCTATTATAATTAGGGAGACTAGATAATAGATAGATAGATAGATAGATAGATAGACAACAAAAACACCTCCCTGCCATCGAGTCCATTTGACCCATAGCAACCCCTCCTTGGGTTTCTGAGGTGGTATCTCTACAGAAGTAGATTGCCCAGTCTTCTTTCTGGGGAGTGGCTGGTGAGTTTGAACTGCCAGCCTTCTGATCAGCAGTCAAATGCCTTAGGCACTGCACTACCAGAGCTCCTTATATATACATACCCAGTGAGTAAGTATGCATATTTGGCAGAAGTGTAGAGAATTAAGGTTTCAGTTTGGTATTTCAGGTAGTTTCTGGTTTCTGATGGGTTCCACTCTGACAACTCCATCATAATCAGTTCTGACATAAGTCAAACTCTTTACTTTTAGGTTTCTTTTTTTTTGTTGTTTTCATTATTATTAACTTTTATTATTACTATCTTTATTAATCTGATCTTTATGTGTCTTTTATGGTTGAAAACCCTACATATAAATTTACAGATGTATTTTAACATTGAATGTAGTACATATTACTAACTATAAAATCCAATGCAACACAACACACTGCTGTCGAGTGGGATCCGACTCATAGTGACCCCTCTTTGGGTTTCCCAGGTGGTATCACTTCAGAAGTAGATTGCCCAACCTTCCTTCCAAGGAGTGGCTGGTGGTTTTGAACCACCAGCCTTCTAGTTAGCAGTCAAATGCCTTGGGCACTGCAACACCAGAGGAAAGAAAGTCATGAGCACAGTTCATAGTATCTAGAATACTTCATGTGTCAGGTATTACCTGTACTAAGTTCCAGGTATCTATTAAACTTTTAAATGATGATATCAAATAAGAAATTAGTTCTACGATTATGCAGATAAGCAAAGAGTTTATAGAGACATAATTTGAAAAACATGAGCTTACAGATAGTGTTTGAAGTCATAATATTAGATGAAATCATTTAGGAAGAGAGGTAATTGAGTAGAGGGTCTAGGAACAATATTTAGAAAGACTCAGTATTTAGAGGGAAATGAAAGAAAGCAGAGTCAATAAAGGAAGCTCTGAGGAAGAAGAAAAGTCAGAAGAGTGCCCTGACTAATAAACCAAGAAAGGAAATCTTTGACGTGGAGGGAAATTGTCACCTAAATAAAGCTTAAAAATAAAGCATAAATAAATATATATGATCATTGTATTTGTCAATGCCAAGGTCACTACTGATTGTGACAAATGTTTCAATGGAGTATTGGCAACAAGTACCCCATTGAAGTTGGTTAAAAGAGAATGGGAACAATATATATGGACTAATGGAATAAAATTTGGGAGTCCAGAAAGTTGTTGTTGCTAGGTGCTGTCAAGTCAGCTCCAACTCATAGTGACCCTATGCACAACAGAATGAAACAATGTCTAGTCCTGTGCCAACCTCACAATCCTTGCTATACCTGAACCCATTGTTGCAACCACTGTGTCACTCCATTTCATTGAGGGCCTTCCACTTTTTCATTGACCTTCCACTTTTCTAAGCATGATATCCTTCTTCAGGGAATGTTCCTTTCTAATGACATGACCAAACTAGGTGAGACGAAGTCTGGCCATTTTCACTTCCAAGGAATGTTCCGGCTGCACTTTGTCCAGGAGATCTGTTTGTTCTTTTGGCAGTCCATGGCACTTTCAGTATTCTTCGCGAACATCACAACTCAAAAGCATCAACTCTTCTTCGATCTTCCTTATTCAATGTCCAGCTCTCACATGCATATAAGGCAATATTGAAAATACCATGACTTGGGTTAGGCTCACCTGAGTCTTCAAAGAGAAAACTTTTATCTTCAGCACTTGAAAGAGGTCTTATGCAGCAGATTTGCCCAGTGTAATGCATCTTCTGATGTCTTGACTGTTGCTTCCATTGGTGCTAATTGTGGAACCAAGTAATACGAAATGTGTGACAACTTAAATATTTTCTCCATTTATTGTTATGCTGCTTATTGGGCCAGTTGTGAGGGTTTTCATTTTATTCATGTCGAGATGTAATCCATACTGCAGACTGTAGTCTTTAATCTTCACCAGTAAGTGCTTCAAGTCATCTTCACTTACAGCAAGCAAAGTTGTGTCATCTGCATATCGCAGGTTGTTAGTAAGTCTTCCTTCAATGATGATGCTGCATTCTTCTTCATATAATACAGCTTCTTGGATTATTTGCTGAGCATACAGATTGAATAAATATGGTGGAAGGATACAACGCTGACACCCTTCCTGATTTTAAACCAAGAAATATCCCACTTCTCTGTTCGAACAACAGCCTCCTGGTCTATATACAGGTTCCTTATGAGCTCAATTAAATGTTCTGGAATTCCCATTCTTCTCAATGTTATCCATAATTTGTTATGATCCACACAATAGTCAATAAAACACAAGTAAACATCTTTCTGGTATTCTTTGCTTTCAAGCAAGATCCATCTGACATCAGCAATGATATCCCTCATTCCACATCCTCTTCTGAATCCACCTTGCATTTCTGGAAGTTCTCTTTGAAATATAATTTTCAAACATAATTTGAAAAACATCCGCTTATAAGTAGTGTTTGAAGTTGTAAGATTAGATGAAATCACTTAGGAGGAGAGGTAATTGAATAGAGGGTCCAGGAACAATGCTCAGAAAGACTCAATATTTAGAGGGAGATGAAAGAAAGCAGAGCCAAGGAAGGAAGCTCTGAGGAAGAATAAAACCATTTTTGAATTATCTTCAGCAAGATTTTACTTGCATGTGATATTAATGATATTGTTCTATAATTTCTACAGTCTATGGGATCACCTTTCTTTGGAATGGGTACAATTATGGATATCTTCCAGTCAGTTGTCCAGGTAGCTGTCTTCCAAATCTCTTGGCATAACCAAGTGAGTGCCTCCAGAGGTGCATCCATTTGTTGAAACACCTCAATGGGTATCCTGTCAATTCCTGGAGCCTTGTTTTTCACCAATTCCTTCAGTGCACCTTTGACTTCTTCCTTCAATATCACTAGTTCTTTGCCACTTCCTGAAATGGACAAACATTGACCAATTCTTTTTGGTACAGTGACTCTGTGTATTCCTTTCATCTTCTTTTGATATTTCCTTCATCATTCAATATTTTGCCTATAGAATCTTTCAATATTGCAACTCAAGGCTTTAATTTTTTCTTCAGTTCTTTCAGCTTGAGAAATGCTGAGTGTGTTCTTCCCAGTCCAGAAAGAGACTCATATATTTCTGATTCATATACATATGTCAATAAAGTTAGAGTCAATTGATTTTTGACAAGGGGTCCAAGACAATGCAATGAGAAAATAGTAACCTTTTGAACAAATGGTGTTGGAGCAACTGGATTTGCATATGTAAAAAATGAAGTTGGATTCCTAACTTACCATATAAAAGAATTAACTCAAATGGGTCATACATCAGAAATTAAGAGCTGAAACCATAAAACTCTTAGAAAAAAATATAGAGTAAATCTGTGTAAACTTAGGTTAAGCATTGGTTTCTTAGATAAGACACAAAAAACACAACAAAAGAAAAAATAGATAAATTGGAATACATCAATGTTAAAAACTTTTGTGCTATAAGTGATACCATCAGGAAAGTTAAAAGAAATCCCATACAAATGAAAAAAATCTTTACAAATGATATATCTGATAAGGGACTTATATTCAGAATATATAAAAACTCTTAAAGTTCAACAATAAAATGACAACTAATCCAATTAAAAATAAGGAAATTATGTTAATAGGTATTTATCCAAAGAATTTATACAAATGGCCAATAAACCTATGAAAATATTCCCAACATCATTAGTCATCAGGGCAATGCAAATGAAAAACAAAATGAGATTTCACTTCAGACCCACTAACATGGCTAAAATAAAGAAAGACAATAAAAAGTGTTGGAAAAGATGTGAAGAAAGCCCTCATACATTGCTGGTCTGAATAGAAAGTGATCTATCTCCTTAGAAAATGTTTGCTAGTTTATCAAAATATAAAACAGAGTTACTTATTCCCATGAGATATAAAGACACAAGAAAAACATATCCATAAAAATTTGTACATAAATGTTCACAAGTAGCATTACTCATAATATCCCTAAAGTGGAAACAACCTAAATACCCATAACTGATGAATGTATAAATAAAATGCAATATATTCATTCAATGTAATGTTATTTGGCAGTAAAAAAGAATGAAGTACTGATACATACTATAACATATGTGGCATGTACTTCACATACTAAGTGCATGATTATTCTGAGCCACAGTTTCTTCCATTAAAATGGAAGTTATGGTACTTTTCTTCTACCCAACTTATTGGCACAATAGTTAAGGAACAAAATAAATGTTTAAGTACCTCATAAAACATTAGTTGCTTCTATGTCTAGAAGAAAGACCTATTGAATATTTTAAGAAATTTCTAATCGAAAAATGTAAGTGCTTAGCAGAACACACTTACCTTGTCCTCAGAAAGGGCTTTTATGTATTTTTTACCCATTTTTTTCTTCATGGTCCAGGAAATAGCTCTCATTTTTTTACCAAAACCGCCTTCATTATTTGAAGTTTTATTTTGTTCTCCATTTTCATTTATCGGTTCACCTTCATACACCTAGTTAGAATTGTTTACAAAAGATGATATAATAAGCAATAAAAATAATGGATCTGAAAATATTATTAGAAAAAATATTCCACATTTGTAGACTTTCTGTACTGCATGCCAAATGACCGGGGCACATGTATATTTTCAACTTTGTTCAGGCCTGGTTACTTGTGTTACAAACTTGAGTTTCACATCTGAAATTTTCTTAGAGAGTTTTGGCTTTTTTTTTTTTTTTTTTTAATTTTTATTGTGATTTGGGTGAAAGTTCACAGAGCAAATTCATTTTCTATATAACAGTTCATACACATTTTATCTTATGACAGTGATTGCAATTCCCCACAATGTAACAGCTCTCTTCCCATAGTTTTGGCTATTTTTATAACTATAGAAGAACCATTTTTTATTTTTTAGTTTGTCCAAATAAAATTAAATACCAGGTATGTTAATGAATGATTATATCCATACAGTTGAGAGATGCTTTATTGGAGGCTTTAGAAATGGCTATCATATCAATCTGTGCTGAAAGGACATTAAAATATCCTTTTTATTCTTATGGAAGTGAACGTAGTTATGGCTATTTTTAAGAAGTTTTGGAGTTTATCAAATCCACAGAGAAACTGTAAGATTTTTTTCATCTTAACAGGTGACTATGCATGCAAATTTACCACATTCCCAAGCAATAGTAGATATGAACTCATTTCAGCCATTAGTACAGAAATTTTCATGTAAATTCACACACTGTACTAATCAAATATTTTATTTGGGCTACTTCTCTCTTGTTAAACTGATGGCTTCCTGTCTAACTTAAAATAAAATACAAAGTGTTCGTAGCTCACAAGTCTCAATTATATAAATAATGTGACATATAATTGATTTAATATGTAATATAATGTGATATATATTACACTATATAAAGTCTATTTGAACTAAAATACTCTCTCTACATATTTTATTCTCTCCTCTAGCTACTTCTGAGGTCTCCCTTGCTCACAATAGCAGTAGTTTTTGAAATGCAGTTCCTAAGCCAGCAGCATGAGCACCACCTGGGGACTGAAAAAACAAACAAACAAACAAACAAATCCATTGCCATCAGGTTGATTCTGATTCATAGTGACCCTATAATACAGAGTAGAACTTCTTTAGGGAAGCAGACTGTGACACCTTTCTCCTGAAGAGCAGCTGGTGGGTTCAAATTGGCCATCTTTTGGTTTGCAGCCAGGTGCTTCTTCCACCTGGGGCAGATTTGTGTTTTAAGATAATCTCCAAGTGATCCTGATATTCACTAAAATTTGAAAAGCACTTACTATAGTATTGCCACATTAGTCCTCTGTCTGTTTCTCATTCATGTTCCACCAAAATTTGCACATGCTATTGCCATTGGCTTCCCCTGTTGTTGTTGGGTGCCAGCAAGTTAATTCTAACTCATAGCAACCACCTGTGTGACAAGAGTAGAACTCTCCCACAGTATTTTATTGGCTGTAATCTCTACAGAAGCAAATTGCCAGGTCTTTTTCCCTCAAAGCTGTTGGGTGGGCTCAAACCACCCACCTTTGAATTAGTAGCTGAGTGCTTAACCATGGAGCAACTCAGTGGGCACAACATAGAACATAAAAATCTTGTTCAACAACCTACGTTGGTGAGTAGTGACTGGGGTCTTAAAAGCTTTCCAGCAGCCATCTAAGAGGCAACTGTTGTTCTCTTCTCATCTGAATCAAAGAAGAGTGAAGAAAATCAAAGGCATCTGGAAACAATTAGTCCTAGGATAAGATGGACCATGAAGACTTCAGCCTTCATGACCCTGAGACCAGAAGAACTAGATGGTGCCCAGCTACCAATGACAGACCCTCAGAAAGGGATCAAAACTGGAGATCCTGGATAAAGTGGGAGGAAAAATGTGGAACAAAATTCAAAAACACAAAAATGACCAGAATTACTGGTCAAATAGAGTCTGGTGGAAGCCACAAGACCGTGGCCCTGGGTTACCCTTCAGGCCTAGAATTGGACTCACTCCCATGGATTGGCTCTCAGCCCAACAGTAGAAAGACCTTCATGCAGAACACCTACTCCAGGGTGATGCACTTGCCTACTCTCCGGAAATATACCCCTTAGAGCAATCAGCCATGAAGCACCAGGGGGACAGCATTCACATAGAAGGAAACATGGACAGACAGGAGTGCATAGTGAAGAAGGGTACAGGAAGGGGTTAGTCACAAGGATGGATAGGAAGGGAAGAGAGTTTGTTATGGTCAGGGATGGTAATCGGGGTGTGAAATCAAATGTACACGGACTGTTGAATGTAAAACAAATTTGCTCATAAATTTGCACCCAAAGCACAATTTATAAAAAAAAAAAAAAAAAAGTGGAGAAATCAGGGCTGTTGCTGTTGTTGTTGTTGTTATGTGTCGTTGAGTTGGACCCGACTCATAGTGACCCCTCCTTGGGTTTCTGAGGCAGTATCACTACAGAAGCAGATTGCCCCATCTTCATTCCGAGGAGTGGCATGTGGGTTCGAACCTCCAGCCTTCTGGTTAGCAGTCAAGTGCCTTAGGCACTATGCTACCAGAGCTCCCAATTTATATATAAGCATGTGTATATGAACATATAGGAGCCCTGGTGGTGCAGTGGTTAAGCATTCAGCTGCTAACTGAAAGGTTCAAACCCACCAGCTGCTCTGCAGGAGAAAGATGAGGCAGTATGCTTCCCTAAAAATTTATAGCCTTGGAACCCTATGGGGCAGTTTTGCTCTGTTCTATGGGGTTGTTATGAGTTGGAATCAACTTGACAGCCAAGTTTGTTTTTTTGGTGTATAAATACATAGTTGGATAAAAGAGATATGTTGTTGTGTTGTTGTTATGTGCCGTCGAGTCAGCCCTGACTCATAGCGACCCCTTCTTGGGTTTCCAAGGCAGTATCACTACAGAAGTAGGATTGCCCAACCTTCCTTCCAAGGAGTGGCTGGTGGGTTTGAACCGCCAGCCTTCTGGTTAACAGTCAAGTGCCTTAGCCACTATGCTACCAGAGCTCCCAAAAGAGATATACACACATGTATATGGACTAATGAATACCAGATTACATTTTGTTCCCATTTCTTTCTTTCAGGAGTATCCATTACTGAAAGAAAAATATTTACAAATATTATAGATACCAAAAGCCAAACTCCTTGCCATTGAGTCTATTCAGACTCATAACAACTCTATAGGAGGGAATAGGACTGCCCCATAGTGTTTCCAAAGCTGATGGAAGCAGACTGGCACATCTTTCACACAAGAAGCCGCTGGCGAGTCTGAATCACACTCTTTTGGTTAGCAGCCAAATTCTTTAGCTGCTATGCCACCAAATCTCCTTACCATTATAGTTAGACACATAGAAATCCCAAAAGCACTTGGAGAAATTACATACAACAAAAGGAAACATTCTTTGTAAAAATGAAGATATGATAATTAGAATGAGGAATTAAGAATGCATATGACTGAAAATATGTTCATCTAAAATGAATATATCACCTGTGGGGCTCCTGAATCAGGTTCAATGATAAATATATATTTCAAGTTTTTTCAATACTCCTCCTTCCTCTCTAATATTCCATTAATTGCTGTACCTTCATTGCTTACTTACCACATGTGGCCACAGTTTATGAAACTGTATAACAGAATGGTAAAATTTAGAATTAGACTAAAAGTTCTTCTTTGGCATTAATTAACTACATAGTTAATTTTAGGGGTAATTTTACTGAATGAAACATATTTATTCAACAATAAAATGGAACTATTATTTTTACCAGAAATAAAATCTATATACATAGATAAAATATTTAGCATTGTGCCTGCCTCATAGTAAGTGTTCAGTAAAACATAGATATTATTAGTTTTATTACTGTTATTATAATGTAAACCTAATTTTATGGGAAGATTTTCTTAAGCTACATTTAAAGTGTTCATGGTTTGCCAAAGTTTATGTAATGGTCACCAATGAGACATTTTAATGCACATGTAGGAGTGTAATTGAGCAATCATGCTCTCCATAACAGGTTTACATTAAGTCACTTAATCATTTCCTAATTTAATGTGATTATAGCGTACATAAAATTTGTAATATTTATTGTTTTCTGGTGGAAATGCTAAGAAAAGCTGTGATTGTCTGTGTTTGAATTATCTTCTTAAGTTCATATTTTCCTTTCCCAGATGTCTTTTGAGTTTCTCAAATAGCTTTTTATTCTGAGTGCCCAGAATGGTGTGATTGTTAGGTACTGTCCGGTCAATTTTGAGCCTTAGTGACCCGTGGTAGAGAGTAGAGCTGCCCCATAGAGTTTCCTTAACTGTTATCTTTACTGAAGCAGATCACCAGCTCTCTGTCCCACAGAGCTCCTGGGTGAGATCAAATTGTCAAGCTTTCAGTTAGCAGCTGAGCACTAGACTGTTGTACAACCAGGTCTCCTTGTCCAGGATGATACTGGGTACTATAAAATTGTATATTTACCACAGAAACATTTGCAAGACCTATGATTTAAAGATATATGGACTATTCTTACTGTAGTTTGCAAAAGGGATATTTTTTCAAATAGAAAGGGATATTAGCATCATATTTTTTGCATTATGTGTTTGAAAAATATCTGTAAAAATAGAATCAAATACTAACCTCAGTCGAACCATCTGGTTTTGATGTGAAATCATCTGGTTTATGCCTAAAACGATCAAAATTCCCAAAGCTGCTGCTGCGCTGTAAAGAAGGAATGGAAGAGGAGCATAAAGTTAAGAGTTTATGACTTCATTGTTAAAACTAATAATATAAGTGATTATAATTTAATAAGCACCATTTTCTTGCAAATATGACCTTCTCTTATTCACTCAAGGTTTTTTGTTATGGCTACGAAGTTTCTGTAAGTTTTTCCCCTGTATGCTGTACTGTATTCATGGATATATATGAAGCATATGTAAATACATTTGTAGAAATATCCTCTGTCAGGCCTATATATATTTGTTGGGTATAGTCTTCTCCTCACGTCTGTTCAGCTTGTGTGTCTATCTATGTATCCACTTGTACATTATTGTTATCACTGTATTGCATGATTGTGTATGTAATAGCATTTATCTTTGTTGCCTTTAATTCTTGTACTCCTTCCATGGTTTTCCTTTGCCTTGATCACTTTTTGCTAACCTCCTCCTTATTTTATTTTGCTGTCCCCCTCAACCAAGTCAATATGTGCTGGTGTTTTTCCCTCCCTTCCTTTCCCCCCACTGGTAACCATCTGTTTTGGTTACCTGGTGCCTCTCTGAAGAGAAAATATACCACAAATGGGATGCCCTTAATAAACAGGAGTTTATTCTTACAATTTGGAGGCTTTAAGTCCAAGTTCAAAGTGCCAGGCTCTAGGGGCTGGGTGAAACCCCTCAACCTTGGGGTCCAGCTCTACCTCCTGCTCCCAGGCCACTGGAGCTAGAGGCGTTTCATCACTCAAACAGCTGCTGGCTGCTGAGGCTGGAAGCCCCAAAGTTGACAAGTAAAAAGGCACAGTCCCGATGTTACCAGACCACATGGCAGGCCAGTAATTCAAGTCCATTGAAAGTCCTAAGTTCGGCAGAACATGGCAGGCTGCTGAGCAACGACACAGCTACATGCAGGGTCCAAGCGTGCCATAGGCTAGAGACCATTACCAAGGTTTCTCCTTAAATACAGGAAACAGAACACATTCCCAAAGGTAGCTACTCAGCTGCTTGTGGTAGATCCCACCACGGAGCTTGTTTCCAGTCTCATCATGGGAATAACTACCACCAGCTTCCCAGCCACTCAACCAGGCCCAGCCAAGTTGGCACACAACCAAAACCACCACACCATCAAAATATGTTTCTTTTTGTGTGAAAATATTTTCTTGACTTTTTTATAATAGTGATCTCACACAATATTTTTCCTTTTGTGATTGACTAGTTTCATTCAACATAATGGCCTCCAAGTTCATCCATGTTACCAGGTGTTTTGCAGATTCATTGTTATTCTTTAATGTTGTATAGTATTCCACTGTGTGCATATGTGATAGTTTATCTGTTCTTCTGATAATGGACATTTAGGTTGTTTCCATCTTTTTGCTATTGTGAATAATGCTGCTATGAACATGGGTGTGCATGTATCTATTCATGCTGTGTGTCACAGCTCTTTTTTCTGTAGAATATATGCCTAGTAGTGGGATTTATAGATCATATGATATTTCTATTTCCTACTTCATAAGGAAGATTCATGCAGTTTTCCTGGAGGCTTAGGACTGTACTCTCAGGGAACATCAAGGTCAGTTGGCACAACATCACCCACAATGAAAATGTTCTACATCCTAATTTGGTGAGTAGCACCTGGGATCTTAAAAGCTTGTGTGCAGCCATCTAAATAAGGTGCAACTGTTGGTCTCTCCAACGTCCAGAGCAAAGAAGAGTGAAGAAAATCAAAAACACATGGAAACAGTCCAAAGAACTAATGCACCATGTCAACCTTAGCCTCCATAACCCTGAGACCAGAAGAACTAGATGGTACCTGGCTACCACTACCAACCAGCTCTGAAAGGGATCACGTTAGAAGATCCTGGCAAGAGTGGGAGAAAAATGTGGAACCAAACTAAAAATCATAAAAAAGACAAAGCTTATTGGTCAGATAGAGACTCGTGGAAACCCCGAAACTATGGCCCTTAGTCACCCTTCTGACCCGGAACTAATCTAACTCCCATAGCTCAATTTTCAGCCAAATAATAAACAGTCTATAAGGTGAACAATAACACTAGGGAGGTAAGCACACCTTAGACAAATCAACCATTCTTGATCAAAAGGTCAGCATTTGCCCAAGGACAAAGTTCAAGTAGCAGGAAGGGTTAGGAAAGAAAGAATGGAAACACAGAGAAGTGGGATGAGTGATGTTACATTGAGCGGACTGCAATCAGTGACATGAATCAAAATGTGTGGGAATTGTTGTTTGTTCTATAAACTTTCACCTAAATCACAATAAGAAATTCAAAAAAATCTATTAAATATATAGTGGCTAACAGTACAATTCAAAAAAAGAAAGAAAAAATGCTCTCTCTGGAACATCCAAAGGCATTTAAAGTATAACAATTATTAACATTTAATATTTACATTCAAGAAAATTTATTCATATCCTTAATATGAAAGTGTTAAGCACCTTGGAAAATATTTGTTAAATTATTTCTAATTTATTGTGTTACTTGGGAATGGCAACTGAAAAGCCTATCGATTCTAAACTGAACCTTCTTGGAATGAGCTAACCGCTAACTTATTTCCATGAGTGAATGACATATAGTATTAACTAGCCAGCCAATCAACCAAGTAACCAATCAACAAACAAATAACCAACAACAGATAAATAAAAACCAAGCGTTTGCTTCATAAAGATCAAGTTTATTGACAAACAAAATTGAACACAAATAAATTTCCATTGCTAACTCTTAATTTGAAACTGTTGAGTATCAGAAAACAATGACATACATATAGAATTACTAATAAATTGAAAGTACCATTTACCCATGCAGGATCTGAGGGTGTGCAAAACTGAATCTTTCCACATTTAATGTGGAATTACAAAGAGACTTCTGTATCAGTATCATGGACTGAATTTGAGAAAAAGCATGATATATTAAAAGAAGACTGTTCCCTTGGATACCTTTTCTTACAAAGCTAAATTTTTATTCTTATTCAATTCACTTTAGGCAGGTAATTGTATACACATCCTGATATTCTACAAAGTAAATGATTCTCCTAAACACGTTTTAAAAAATCTTTAGAGTAACTGAGTCAAAAAATTAGTGTTTCCTCAGTATCAATTTAATTTTATACATTGCTTAGGATGGTAGATATCTGATATTATGTTCTTCGTGTACCTATTAATACCAAGAATCTGTTCTATCTTAAGAAATTTATCTCATTCCAAGCTTATCATATTAAAAAATAAGTTTGTGGTCCTCAAAAATAACCTGATTATTTGAAAAATTAATAATGAGAGTCAATAATCTGTAAAAACTTCTGTTCAGAAATCACAGGCAATTTTAGTTCAAGTCAGCTTCAAAGGCTTCCAGTCTTTACAAGCACACTTACACTCCTGTCTTCCCACCAGCTATCTTTAAAACTCCTTGTTTCCATTTTAAAGGAGCTGAAGCAAAAAGATACTGACATGTGACAAGGGGTTAGCTTGATAGACAGGTGCTACAGCATACTGCCCCAAGGATGATGGTTGTGTTAGACATAATTAACACCTTTGCTGGCTTGCCACCCCTGCTGAACAAGCCCTCCAGTTTGGAGAGTAGAAAAGAAGGGCTAAAATTCAGAAACATGTTGGAAAATAGAGTCTCTTCATGCAGTGCTTACTTAACGAGAGTGACTTTTCGGAGTATTAATCACTTCAATTTGTCTAGGGAAGCGTATCATCAGGCCACTATGGCTTAGAGATCACAGAAGTGAATTGAGTGTATTGTCTGTTTATAAACTATCTGAACAAAGGTAAAACTCTTCTATATACTTGAAACATTACTATGAGCGATGCCTGGGGCAATTTTCTACCCTACATCCACCCTGCCTCCTACCTAATAAATATTAATAAGGGTTAAGGCCTGATTTCTACCACTGGATAATGGGCCACATTGCCCAGGAGGGCACAAATAGGCTCATTTCAGCAATTCTCTATACTATCTTCTTCCATTAAGTAATCAATAGTCACCACCTTTTAAAATTAATTCATCCCCCATTATATCAATAACGAAAAGCAGATTTAGTAGTAGTGGTTTAAGAAGAGTTTGGGACTATTACTTTGGGTTTTGTCAGTCATCTCATTACTAATCACTCAACAGCTTTAAGCCAGAGAAGCATAATATCAGTCCACATTGAGACACATTTAAGAAGAAAAATTAAGTATTTAAAAGGACATTGTTTTAAAAATTGCATTATTCTCTAGTCTAAAAGTTAGTGTCTTTCTGAGATGGATTCATAATGTATAGGTTACAGCTTATCATGAAAAAGGGCCAGTGTGAACAATAAGCAAATTTATAATTTCTACTCCTGTTAGCTTTTCAATGAAAAGGTGAATCATGAAGAAGTAAAGCATGCTTCCTAGATAAATCCTTAATAAGTGAGAATGTATTTGAATATTAATAATCTTACATTGTTTAATCATCATAGATTAGATATAGCCAATAGTAATTTGTGACAGAGCTCTTATCAAGGCAAAGCTATTATATAAACAAATATCTATCAATGGGAAGAGTAACTTCAATAATAATGCAGTTCATTTTTAAGATCACTCTTTGTTTATGCTGACATTAGGTGATCTAATGTCATATTTTATCTTTAGCTATATTATTTTATAAATCTATATAATCTTTCCTTATGCAATTAGAGATGCACCTGTAAAGTGGGGAGAGAATACTTGGGGAGAGAAATTTTGCAATATGTGGCAAAATTACATATACATAAGTTTTTTGACCCAGAAATTCCATTTCTAGATGCTTATACTAGGTAAAGCATTGTACTGATACAGAAGTTCAACAGTTTGAACCCGTCAGCCACTCCATGGGAGAAAGATGAGGTAGTCTACTTCCTTAAGGATTTACAGCCTTGGAAGTCCCATGGTGCAGTTCTACTCTGTCTTATAGGATCACTTTAAGTTGGAATTAACTCAATGGCAGTTGATATACTAGAGATGTGCTTAGATATAAAAGATTTACCTACACACAT